TGGTACTAAACCGCTACCGCACCAAGGCCGTCAAGTAGTTATATATAAATTCAACATAGTTACCAATGTAGCGGTCGTCAGTATACATATATTAATTAATTGTTATCGCTCGGGGTCACGCCAATACAGTTAAGGAGTCGTAATTAGCTTGATTAAGTAATGACTTGGTCCGCATTCCATTATTATTAATATATTTTAGTATGTTGCAATGATTTAACAATTTATCATTATGAATAGTGATGTCCCATAGTTCGTAAAACATATTAGTAGATCGATATCTGATCATGATCAAACATTGTTAAGTATGATAGTAGGGATTGCGTTGCTAGACGTCCCGTATGACCCGACGGGACTGACTCTTCATTATAATATAGTGATGTGATGTCCCGTAGTTTGTAAACATGCATATTAGTAGATCGCCATCTGATCATGATCAAACATTGTTAAGTATGATAGTAGGGATTGCGTTGCTAGACGTCCCGTATGACCCGACGGGACTGACTCTTCATTATAATATAGTGATGTGATGTCCCGTAGTTCGTAAAACATATTAGTAGATCGCTATCTGATCATGATCAAACATTGTTAAGTATGATAGTAGGGATTGCGTTGCTAGACGTCCCGTATGACCCGACGGGACTGACTCTTCATTATAATATAGTGATGTGATGTCCCGTAGTTTGTAAACATGCATATTAGTAGATCGCCATCTGATCATGATCAAACATTGTTAAGTATGATAGTAGGGACTAGCGTTGCTAGACGTCCCGTATTTGCTGGGACGTCCCGTATTTAAAATGACCCGACGGGACTGACTCTTCATTATAATATAGTGATGTGATGTCCCGTAGTTCGTAAACATGCATATTAGTAGATCGCCATCTGATCATGATCAAACATTGTTAAGTATGATAGTAGGGACTAGCGTTGCTAGACGTCCCGTATTTGCTGGGACGTCCCGTATGACCCGACGGGACTGACTCTTCATTGTAATATAGTGATGTGATGTCCCGTAGTTCGTAAACATGCATATTAGTAGATCGCCATCTGATCATGATCAAACATTGTTAAGTATGATAGTAGGGATTGCGTTGCTAGACGTCCCGTATGACCTGACGGGACTGACTCTTCATTATAATATAGTGATGTGATGTCCCATAGTTCGTAAAACATATTAGTAGATCGCCATCTGATCATGATCAAACATTGTTAAGTATGATAGTAGGGATTGCGTTGCTAGACGTCCCGTATGACCCGACGGGACTGACTCTTCATTATAATATAGTGATGTGATGTCCCATAGTTCGTAAAACATATTAGTAGATCGCCATCTGATCATGATCAAACATTGTTAAGTATGATAGTAGGGATTGCGTTGCTAGACGTCCCGTATGACCCGACGGGACTGACTCTTCATTATAATATAGTGATGTGATGTCCCGTAGTTTGTAAACATGCATATTAGTAGATCGCCATCTGATCATGATCAAACATTGTTAAGTATGATAGTAGGGACTAGCGTTGCTAGACGTCCCGTATTTGCTGGGACGTCCCGTATTTAAAATGACCCGACGGGACTGACTCTTCATTATAATATAGTGATGTGATGTCCCGTAGTTCGTAAACATGCATATTAGTAGATCGCCATCTGATCATGATCAAACATTGTTAAGTATGATAGTAGGGACTAGCGTTGCTAGACGTCCCGTATTTGCTGGGACGTCCCGTATGACCCGACGGGACTGACTCTTCATTGTAATATAGTGATGTGATGTCCCGTAGTTCGTAAACATGCATATTAGTAGATCGCCATCTGATCATGATCAAACATTGTTAAGTATGATAGTAGGGATTGCGTTGCTAGACGTCCCGTATGACCTGACGGGACTGACTCTTCATTATAATATAGTGATGTGATGTCCCATAGTTCGTAAAACATATTAGTAGATCGCCATCTGATCATGATCAAACATTGTTAAGTATGATAGTAGGGATTGCGTTGCTAGACGTCCCGTATGACCCGACGGGACTGACTCTTCATTATAATATAGTGATGTGATGTCCCATAGTTCGTAAAACATATTAGTAGATCGCCATCTGATCATGATCAAACATTGTTAAGTATGATAGTAGGGATTGCGTTGCTAGACGTCCCGTATGACCCGACGGGACTGACTCTTCATTATAATATAGTGATGTGATGTCCCATAGTTCGTAAAACATATTAGTAGATCGCCATCTGATCATGATCAAACATTGTTAAGTATGATAGTAGGGATTGCGTTGCTAGACGTCCCGTATGACCCGACGGGACTGACTCTTCATTATAATATAGTGATGTGATGTCCCATAGTTCGTAAAACATATTAGTAGATCGCCATCTGATCATGATCAAACATTGTTAAGTATGATAGTAGGGACTAGCGTTGCTAGACGTCCCGTAATTGCCGGGACGTCCCGTATTTAAAATGACCCGACGGGACTGAGTCTGTCCCATATTCGAACCGTGCTCCCTTTTTTATTAATAAATCGATCGATCATCTAGACAAAACTACTCACGCACGCAACGTTTGTACCCCTAATTTAATAAAAAGCGAATTGATGACCGTTTTTAAATACGTATATAATTGTATTGATTTTTATAAATGTGTTAAAATCAATAAACATATGTTAAAGCTGACTTGCTCCTCAGAAAAAAATATACATTTTTTTTGTTTTTTTTTGTCCCGGGTAAAATACTAAATTCCCCTATTTTTTTGCCTATTTGTATTTGCCGCATATAGGCTGAACAAATCTGGCAACATAGAGACCGTATTTATACTTGGTTTGTTGTGTTTAAAAGTAAATTATAGACATATAAATTTATGTATAATGGTATAAAACAATTAAGAATTAGTAGCACAAGAAAATTAGTATATCTGGCTGGCTGGCTCATCCGTCATACTCGTGAACGAGTTCTGCTTGTAGGGAGTGGTCTGCTCTTATCACTACGACTGATTTAATCTTATTGTATATTTATATTTGACCCAAAACATTTGTGCTGGTTGGTAATTTGTATTCACACGTTTCGACTTGTAAATGTAAAGTTACAAGGATTATTTATAAGAGCAACACACAAGTTTCTTGCTCGTTCTTCTTGTGATGAGATAGCTTTCCGAACGAGTGGTAGATAAAAAACAAATTGTTATTACTGTTCAAAAGTGCTTAAATTCAGTTTATTTGAATAAATGTTTTTCTATTCTATTCCAGTTTTTGCGTGAAAGAGTAACAAATGGATATGTCCATACATCCATCCATACTTCCAAATCTTGGCGTTTGTAATATTAGTAAGATAAGATAGTGCTGCTGATATTGGAGCATAATACAGTGGCGCCCCCAATCAACTTTCTTCTAAGTGGCGATAACCGAAATTTCATTCCGGACTACTGCTACTGGAAGCGTTACGAACTTCTCTATTGGTTTTTCGACTGTTATGTGTACACTCACATTTCGCCGCTGAGCTAGGCATCGTCAGGCATTGAATAGAGTTCAGATATACCTTGGAGACTGTTTAGCGACCAAACTGCATCCATAGTGATCAGACTCAATAACGGTCGGAATTTGATCACCAATAGAGGTTTCAGTAGCGGTGGTCAGGTTTCCGCATTGATCACCAATAGAGATTGCAACGCTTCCAGTAGAGGTGGTCAGATTTCCGCAATGAATATTTGTGGAGTCACACATGATAATGTTGCCGGAATCTTATTTATATCATGAGCGCGGAAGTTTGTGAGTGTGAATGTTTGTTACTCTTTCACGCAAAAACCACTTATACACATCAAAATAACATATACGCTACAAAATTTCACGCAAGTGAAGCCGCGGGCACTAGTATAACCTAAATCCATGAAGTAGTGAAACATCTGGGTACTTCCGCAAAATAACAGCTAATTCGATAAAATATACACTGGATATAATAATTTCACTATGATATCATGTCATTGACTCGATCAAAGTTCAGACAGGCAGACGGTGTGTGTTTGTACTGACACGTGTCTGTCAGGATTTGTTTGGACGTCTAATGCTGATAATTTAACCTTATTAGAGATTAGGACAATGTTGTAAGTTTTATAATTATTGCGTATTATATACACTTTGTATATAATGTATGGAAGTCATGACCTATATGGAGGGGAAAGGAAGGAAACGATGAACAGTACAGTTTTATCAAGGTAAACTAACTGTGCATGTATTGAATTGGCGAGCATACAAATAGATATTCTTTAAAAAAAAAGTAATTCAATTGAGTTTCTTGCCAGTTCTTCTCAATTGAATCTGAACTGGATGGTAGAGAAAAAAAAATTAAGTTCATAAGCGACTAAAATGTACTACATTAATAAATTAATTTGAATTTGAATCGGAAGTAAAACCACGAACTAAACTACTAGACTATCAAAGCGGTCAAATCCAAAAAAGTAAAATAATTCCTCTATAATAATTTTAATTACATTGTAACCTGGTTTTAAGCATGTTGTTTAAAACTACGTTAAAATAGAATTACGAGTAATGAAACTACGACTGATTTATTCTTATTGTGTATTTATGAATCTAATAAATTAGTGCTAGTTGATAATTTGTATTCACACGTTTTCACTTAAAAATGTGAACTTACAAGGATTATTTAAAAGAGCAACACACAAGTTTCTTGCTCCTTCTTCTTGTTATGAGACAGCTTTCCGAATGAGCGGTAGATTAAAAAAATGTGAGAATTATTCAAAAGTGCTTGAATTAACTTTATTTGAATAAAGATTTTCTATTCTACTCTCTTGAAATGGATTTTATTTAATTTAAGAATTCCTGTCAAAAAATACCCCTGAATTTAAAACCTTGGGAGTTATTGTGTCGGATATGATTCCGGGGCAAAAAGGTCCGCCCCGAGACCCCAACCTTTTCCCTCCTTGAAGAGTGCGAAAAGACCTTAGTTATATACATATATTAATGAGTTTCTATTTTTGTTTCAGGCTTTCCAGTCGCTGTTTCTTTGTCTCTCTCTAACACACGACGTGCTAGAGTGGCTAGACAAGCATGAAAGTCGTTTCGGGACGAAACTTCGATATTGGCGAGATGTTCTCTTCTGCGGTTTAGTTGTACCGTTTACTTTGGTGAGTGTATTTGTTTTTAGTAGATGATATGTGCACCCGCTTGCTAACGGTATAGGCTGGCGCAGTACCAGTGGTAGATGACAGGATGAGCATGCTTCCAAACAGGGACATACTAAACTTAGATTGGCGAATGAACTTCCTGCCGAGGTTTTCTCGCGAGACTACAGCATGGGGTTTTTCAAGAAGGGTATATGAAGGTTTTTAAGGGTCGCCAACGCGCACGTGACACCCCTGGTGTTTCAGGCGTCCATAGATGGGCCGTATGTTTGTTTGCAACCATAGTAGTATAAAAGAAAAGGGAGGTCATTGTCAATTGTAGATGTCATGGTGAACCCAACATTTGACATGTCCTGTCCACGATGGTACCATCGTAACTTCAGTTGCCATTTGAGTTTGAGGGCACCGCGGTGCCCTCAGATTAAACTCGTATTAATGATTAATACGACTTTAGTCTGAGGGCATCGCTATGTTTTCTGGTTCTATCAATCCTGAATTGGACAGAAGATCAAGTGTTGCGTATGATGCCCTAAGGCTAAAGGCTTCTCCGCCAGTAGTTGCTCGTCAACCGCTTCATAAGACACTCCACGGGTTTGGAGTGCCATCCGCACTCGCCTCCTATCGTTCGGTAAAGCTGTAAAGGAGTATGAAAAAAAATTAAGATCAATTTGACTATTCCATTCAGGATAGCAGTATAATATAATATGTTTATTTGAGACTGTTTTTTTTTGTAATAGTTGACGGTATATTTATGTTTTCATCTTTCAGTTCGTATCTGCAATGTTCTGGTCGGTCTACGCCATCGACCGCGAGCTGGTCTTCCCGAAGATCTACGACACCATTGTACCAAGTTGGTTCAACCATTGCGTTCACACCAACATTAGTATAGTCATCGCTGTGGAGACTATACTCCAATCCAGGAGATACCCAATTAATAGGGCCCTGGAATTGAGCATCGGTCTTGGATTGGCTATACTCTATGCAGCAGTGTAAGTATTCTTTGAAATTTCTCTGCAATATCTCCTTTAAAATTGATCTCAAAATAGGCCAAAAGGGTGTTGCGATGACAAAGAAAGCGGCAGATATTAAGTTCCAAAATTCTCCATAATTTCCAAAACAAAGCATTTCAAACTATAACCAGTGTTACCAGGGAACACTGGTTATAGTTTGAAATGCTCTGCATTTGACGGCCTCGGAGGTCTAGCGGTTTAGTATACTGCTTTACTTATGATAGACGCGGGTTCGATTCCTTACTCGATACAATTGTTTGTATTGGTCTATATGTTTATTACGTGTTTGGTTTAGAAGATAAAATCTCTAAATTAGCCGTAACAATATTCATTTTTAAGGTTTACAAAAAATATCGCAGTTAACAGACAACATCGTTTGACTCATTCAAACAAGATTACTTCTATTCTCTTCTATTCTTGTTACAGATATTACACCATCTTCTTCTTGTCCGGGAGATGGTTGTACCCACTCTTCGGCATCATGACCTGGTGGCAAGTCTGCCTCTTCCAATGCGGTATCTGGTTCTCCGTCTACATATTCTACGAGATCCAGTTCCCAATAAATAGGTTAATCCACAAAGAACCTCAAAAACCAATCGAGCAAGGGCGAGAAATGCAGAAGGGTCTAGAAGAAACGCAAGAGAATGGGATACACAAGAATGGGGTACAGAATGTGATAGAACGAAATAGTTTACAAAATACAAATCCAGATTTAAAGACTCCGCCGTTTTCGACCAAATCCTGGAGTTTGAAGTATCGTTCGATTAGGGAGCAGTTCGAGAACTCCAGATTATGAGATTGTGATAATAAATATATGTTAAGAATTAGACTATTTCATAACTACATTTGAATAAGACTTTAATTTTTATTGGACGCTGTCGAGGTTTTGGAATTGTGAATGTAAAATTTAAATAAAATAATGATAACTTATTTTTTTGTCTGAACTTATTACCCAGTATCATTACATAGTATAAAACAAAGTCGCTGTCGCTGTCTGTCCGTCCCTATGTATGCTTAAATCTTTAAAACTACACAACGGTAAGCGTGATTCAAGAGGAAGGTTTATATGTATAATACATGTACACCCATCCGAAGCCGGGGCTAGTAGATGAGGTCAGGTCAGTTAGCAAATCGTGACAAATTCACCAAGAATTTATCACGATGGTTTCCAGGAAGAACCGCGTGGAGATCAACTTGACAGTACGTTGTTAGCAATGGGGCGGTCAGACCGGATTCTAACAATCCCGTTTCCCTCTGTTTAGTCTGTTTTATAAAACAATTATTTCTATTCCTAATATAAGTTCTAATAAAACACAAATATGGTTTCTCACTTTCATATATTTAGAAAAGACTTAATAGTAATTAATATTAAAAGTATTGTTGGATATCTATACAATTTACAGTTATAAATCTTCTTAAGTAGCCGAGGAATTTACTGTTTCTACATTTTCAGAATTAAATTTCATATAAATAAATTCTTTACAATAATATTTCTGTGTATCTAAATTGGCACTAGCAGGCTTCTACCAGATTTTTTTGGGCAGGGAGAGAAATACGACCGCTGAAGGTGAGTGTTGACGTACCTCGGTAAAGGGCCCTAAACCTACACCCGGGTCATAAGTCCCGGGAACTGCTCGGAGTTTCCCTCTCTGCCACACGATGGACCCGGCATCAGTGTGGATCCATGAAATGCTAAAGTCTCCGAAATATAGAATATCTGAGATGCTAAAGGAACTGTGGCATAACGTTCTTTTTGTTTTATTTTTCAGCGCAATACCGTAATTTCTTTATTTAAACAGTATTGTTAGTTTTTATTAACTTTCGTTTACAAAAATGTTCGTGGAAGACTAAAATATTATTGATTAATGCATTTAATACACCATGATGTACTTATCTTAATCCCATAGTCGCTCTACTTGCTTTACCAAAACAACTAAAAACAAATTACAACCCAATTACTTTCATTACACCTAATTTATTCTTTACATGAAAATAATATAGCTCCTTTTTACAATATTAATTTTGAAATTTGAGCAAAATCACTCTCGAGATTTTGTTTTTAAGTTAGTAAACAGAATTTTCCTCGACTACCCTAAAGCACTAATGGGTAACCTTTGAAAAATACAACTTAAACTTAAGGTAACTTAGAGTATTACATTGAGAATATACAAATCTTTAAATATAAGTTGGCAGTGAAGATCTATATCCTAACGCTAACTTTAGAGATGAAATATTATCAGTAGTTAGTAGGGAGTAATTTTTAATAATATTGAACTATCTTTCATTATAAAACATCCTATAGAAATTTAAGGAGATAGAATATACTTTGATATACTAATATTATTAAACGAGAGATCGGATTTTATCACAACCAAAGAAAACTCTGGAAGGAATGCACCGATTTGAGAAATTCTTTCACTGTTTGAAAATTATAAAATTTTAGAGAGACATAGGACTGTTACTAATATTATAAACGCGAAAATTTGCGAGTATGAATGGATAGATGGATGTCTCTTTCACGCAAAAACTACTGAAAGAATTTTAAGGAAACTTTACAGAAATATAGCTTATTCAATATAGGCTATAAATTTCATGCTGGTCTCTCAGGCACAGCTAGTCAATACATGCGAAACTTGTAAAGTTTTGAGCCCTGGTGATATCATGTCCAGGTTCTAATAGTTTTATTAATTATGCAGTAGTATTGGTTATTTGGAAAATTATAAATTTTAATCTGAGATAATGTTACATCTCTAAAACATACTTTCATATCGACTTATTTTTACATCTACGTTTTATCTTAAAACAAATTAATTTACAACAATTTTGATGATGAATGACTAAATCAATTGCACAATTCCAATAAAAAAAACCTATAAAGTATATTTGGAAAATCGTTTAGAAATATACTTAGAGGTTTACAACCATTCATCTCTCAAAGGTTACCAATAAATCACAATTAAAAGAAATCACCTACAACTTGTCTATACAACAATTGTCTGGGGTACCTTTGGACCCCCTCCTCGTAAGCCACTACCCTCTGTGGATGAATGTAATAAGAGTTCGGCGTTCTTAAACTGACCCCAGAAATTTGTTGGGGTCGTTTCCTTACTTGATAATTTGAAAGTTCCGAAGCAGCAAATTGAGGATCTGGTTGTTGATAATTATTTCTGAACCTCGAAAATGTATAATCTCTATCAGAAGGCACAAAACCACTTGGTACCCTAATGTTGACATTAGGTAAACTCGGTGTAATAGCTTCATTTAATCTTACATCATATTCATTTTCAATAGAATCAGCTAAATTCTGTTTTATCGAGATATTTTCTGGTATTACTGGTTTTCCAGTTGCTGTATAAGGTTTAGATACTTCAGGTTTGGGAGCGATTTTAGGCTTAAATGGACTTTCTGTTGCTGGATATTTGGGCTTGTTCATTGCTACGCTCTGAGAGAGATAAGGTTTCAAATAGTCACCAGGTGATAATGTCGATTCGAGTTTATCTCTGATAGCTTCGTAATTGTCATTGTAGACTCTCAAAACCTTTGTTGCTAAGTTTTTTGCTCTTTCTTCCGGTGTTGTAAGTAGTACTGTTGTTGTTTCAGGTATGTTAGTTTTTAATTCTGGCACCTCTGTAGATGTATCCTCTTTTAAGTTTAAAGATTGTGGTACTGCTGTAGTTGTATCTTTTTTATTTTTATTTTCATATTCTATGTCATCCTCGTCATAATATTCATATTCATCGTCTGGTGCACTAATGTGCGGTACTGTTGTAGGTTCTGTTGTAACAGTTGTTGTTGGTCTTTGTGTTGTTGTTGTTGTAGTCGTAGTAGTTGTTGTTGTTGTTGTTGTGGGCCTAGTCGTCGTTGTAGTGGTGGTAGTAGTGGTAGGTTTAGGGGTAGTATGAGGGGGTGAAGTCATATCTTTACCAGCTACTGGTTGCAAGCCACGTGGCAAATACGGGCTGCCACCCCTAGACGGTAAAAAAGGACGTTTAATAACTTTCACTGTAGGTCTAATTTCTTTGATTCTAGCTTGTATTACTTCTTCCTCCTTTACTGGTCTCTTGGTTTCTTTTTTCTCGTCATAGTCATAATAATAGTCTTCTATATCTTTAGAATGTCCTTTTTTAGATGGCTGAGGTCTCGGTCTGCTATTTTTCGGTGGAGTATCATAGTAATAATCATCGTCATATCCAGTTGTAGGTCGTTTTGTTGTTCTTCTGTCTTTATAGTTTGCAGATGGACTAATGGAGTGCGGTCTAGTTGGTTTAAATTTTTCTTTCTCTACAACTTCGGGCCGTGGTCTCTGTTGTACGGTACTAGTTTTTCCGGAAGAAGATGGTCGACTGCTTTCTTCTTCTTCATAATCATCATAATATTCATCATCGTCTTTACGTGGAGGTGCCTTTGTGGTTGTTATGGTTACATATTCATATTTTTCCTTTTCGTTTGCGGGAACCGGACGTTTTATTTTGGGAGGCATTCTTGGTTTACTGAAAATACCATGGCCATTTGGTTTAACAAGTCCTTGTGTATCTGGAGCTGATGGGATATCTCGCTTCTCTTCTCGGTCATCATAAGTCCTATCTGGTTTTGAATAGGGTCTTTCGTCTCTGCTTCTGTATGGTCTGTCGTCCCTGTATCGTCTACCTTCATTGGTTTGATATCGGTCATCTCTTGGTCTAGAATTTTCCAATGGTTTTTCCTGTATACTCTCATCTCTTAATGGTCTTCTTTCATCTCGTGGTCTAGTTTCTTCCTTAGGCCTAATTTCATCTCTTGGCCTTATTTCATCCCTTGGTCTAATATTATCACGTGCTCTACCTTCAAGTCTAGGCTCATCCCGTGACCTCTTTTCGTCCCTCGGTCTGACTTCATCTCTCGGTCTGACTTCATCTCTCGGTCTGATTTCATCTCTCGGTCTGACTTCATCTCTCGGTCTGACTTCATCTCTCGGTCTTACTTCATCTTGAGACTTAGTGTCCTCTCTAGGCCCATCTCTTGGTCTAAATTTGGGTCTAGGACCATCTCGTTCTCTCTTCTGATCTCGTTGCCCTGATCTTGGTCTATCTTCGTCTTCTCTGAATCTTTCCTCTTCATCATCCCTTGGTCTCGGTCTTCTGTTGCCATTTCTGTAGCCTGGCCGCCTGTCTTCTTCATCGTCGTATGGTCTTCTTTGGTCATATGGCCGTTTATTTCTTCTATCATAGGGTCTTCTTTCTTCATAATCATCTTCTGGCGGTTCATCGCGGGGTCTTGGACGGCGTTCATATCTGAAAACATAATAGATAATTATTTATTACAGAATTTTAATTCAAATTCATAATATCTTTATTCATGTGGGTGAGGTGTGGGTCTATTACAGACTCTTATATTACGTCATAGTCGATTGGACCTGACCACACGAGATGTGATAAAAGATGGTACGGGGAATACACCAGTATCTTTACTGTTTAACCATTCATATAAATTTCTTCTAAATGATGTTTAGTATTCATTTTCAAAATATCACGATTTTTTTTTCGGACTACTCTAATACAGTCGCAACTGGCCTTTAATCAATTTTAGAAATATGAAAGTGTAGCGGTTTTTGTATTGATTGCCGCATGCATTCTTATGTAAAATGTGAATACTATAACCATCAGATAGCAATTGTAAGTAGCTTTGACGTAGTCTAGTGTTTTGAGTTGTATTGATTGCCGCATGCATCCTCATGTAAAGTGCGAATACTGTAACTACCATATAGTAATTTTTGTAGCTGTGACGTGGTCGAGTGGAATGAGTAGTCATGCTCACTAAAATGTCCAGACTTGTGGCGGCGCGGTAGGCCGGGTCATTGGGCTCCCTAAAATATGGTCGAGCGCAGTGATGGCTGGCTCATCCGTCATACTCGTGAACGGGTGCTGCTTGTGGGGACTGGTCTGCTCTAATCACTATGACTGATTTCCTCTTATTAATTGTTTAACCAGTTGGTTATATATTCAATATTTTTTCTATTTGAGTATTTAATTGAATTAGTGCTAATTGGTGGTTTGTATTCACACACTTAAACTTAAAAATGTAAAGTAATAATAAAATTATTTAAAAGAGCAACACGCAAGTTTCTTGCTCGTTCTTCTTGTGATGAGACAGCTTTCCGAACGAGCGGTAGATTAAAAAATGTAATGACTATTCAAAAGTGCTTCAATGTAAGTTTATTTGAATAAATGATTTTTTATTCTATTCTATTCTTTTTACAGCATCACTGGACGATAGGGGGCGAGTGCAGATGGCACTCCAAACCAAAGGAAGGACTTATGGAGCGGCTGAAGGCCGACTCCCGCCTGACGGATACGACTTTAGTCTGAGGGTACCGCTTGGGGCTCGAACCTTGGCTCAGGCCGTCGTAATTTCGATCCCCGTTTGAACTGAACGGGGAATCAATCGGAGGGCGTATTATATTTTTTTATTTTTTACACATATTTTCATAGATTTTGTATACTGTGTTATTGTAGATCTGATAAGCAGATCGAATGAGACATCAATATATGCGCGCTCCCGCTCACACCGAGGTTATAAATATAAGCAAGACGCTTACTTTGGCAGTTGGCACGCAGATGTATTCCGAGAAGGACGTGCGATAATAAAAACTAATTACCTTTCATCCTCGTAGTCATCATGAGGTCGTCTTTTGCCTGGTCTCTGAGGACGAGGACGTCTCCTGCCCCTGGATTGAAGAGTTTTAGTTTTTATTTACATGCTTTTTACTTCTTATTATACTTATTATTAAAGAGCTATGCGTGGAGTTTATCTCGGGTTTCTCGAGAGATTACATGGGGTTTTTCAAGAAGGGTTTTTATTCTAAAACCCTTCTTGAAAAACCCTAAGTTGTAGTCTACCAATTAGTAGTTAATGGTTAATTTATTATGTTTGTTAGCACCTATAAAGTTCCATCCAACAATTTTATATTTTTTTAGTTATTGTTTAATTATTCATAAAGGCGCTTATAATTACAGTGTAGACAAATTATTACTTTGAAATTGAAGAGCAATGTCACTCAAACACTTTCTATTAGACAGCCATTACATTCGGATCCATCCATATAGTTATACATTCTACATATATGTAAGTTAACTTAATTGTACATGAAGCAATAGGTAAATCTTGTATTCAACAAAAAAGAGTTTCTCTGTACAACCATAAGAAGCTCCAGATGTCATCCTAGAAAATTTAATTTAATTGTAAATCTGTTTAAGATCTTAATTAAATATTTATTTATTTAGTATTATTTTCATTTAGACATTATGGAAATTACGCTATTTGCCTTTTTATACATTTTTATACTTAAGGCCCTGCAAATAAGATTTAAAATTAATTTAATAACCTGTCATAATCATAATCATCCCTTTCAGGATAATAATAATCGTCATCATAATAATCGTATCTGTGATACGGCCGCCTCCTGGGGGGCCGTGGGGGCCTGGTGGTCGTTGTGGTGGTGGTAGTTGTGGGCGGCGGAGGGGGCGGGGGTGCTTCAGTCACTGCTTTGTAGAGAGCTTCGTTCCTGAAAAAGTAAAGAAGTGAAACATTTAAAATCTATATCACAATTACATGGTACAAAACGAACTCACTGTCGTCAGTCACTATGATGTATGCTTGAATCTTAAAAAAATCGCAACGGATTTTGAAGCGGTTTTTTTATATAGATGGAGTGATTCAAGAGGAAGGTTTATATGTATAAAACATGCCTAATATTTTAAAGAAACACTGATAAATTTAGACGTTTCTAATGTGATGTCGTAAATAAACACCTATTTTTGCACTTACATTCCAAATGCTGGCTGAATCCCACGAGATAAATCAAAATAATGTACTACAGTATTGTACACCTTAAAAAGTTCAAATAAAAACTCCTCGATGGTGTATGTCTATCTCTTAAGAATAACCCACAATAACCATTTTTTATCCTTTACATTTTAAAAACGGCTTACGAAGTGATTTTAATCAATACAGCATTCATTTTTATCCAATTAAGTACCGTAAATATTTTGTCTACTTAATATAGATCAATATGGCCTTTCACAGCATGCAATTTAAATGAATATTTCCGAAGATATTACAGATTTAAAATGCAGGGACATAGCGGTGCGGCGGTACCAGCCCGGCCGGTGGCGCTAAACAAAACATGTTTGTACTGTCTAATGACAAAAAAGCTGTAAATATTGTTAAGGAAATTCTGTAGTAGGTAGGTATATTTCATTATCAGCATTACACCCGTATGCCGGGCTGGGTTACTAGTTTACTCAAGTAATGCATTGGTCTTTATTGATGACCATAGGCAGTAAGGCGGTGTGTAAAACCTCTAGACCACAGAGCATGTCAAATCGTATTACTTCTTTCTTTTCAAAAATACAGTCCACTATTTTTTTATACTGGCAATGTGTGTTGCCAGTGATGACTTGCGGCACAGAGACCTGGTCGCTAACTATGGGTCGCAGGAACAAGCTCAGATAGCAATGGAGAGGGCTATGCTCGGAGTTCTCTGCGTGACCGAATCAGTAATGAGAAGATCGGCAGAAAAACCAGAGTGACCGATATAGCCCGAAGAATTGTGACATTGAAGTGGGCAGGGCCCATAGCTCGTAGGACAGATGGCCGTTGGGGCAGTAAAGTTGTCGAAGGCCTCCACCAAGGTGGACCTTCGATCTGGTCAAAATCGCTGGAAAGCGTTGGATGCGAGCAGCGCAGGACCGATCGTCGTGGAGATCTTTGGGGTAGGCCTATGTCCAGCAGTGGACGTCTTTCGGGCTGAGATGATGATGATTTTATATTATTTCTTTGTACATATTCTTAATCCAAATGTAAATTAAAATATTTCTTTTATGTATGAATGTAATTTTCCTATATTATATATAGGCTACCTGTTGTAATAGTTTGGAGAATTCTTGCAATCCACTTCGGATACGAAATGACAGATGAACGTCTTCTGGTCGAAGGCTGTGTAGTTGGCGCAGAGGAAGTCGTACCTGGTGCCGAAGAGACAGTGATGGTACACCTGGAATTTAACAATATATTTACTGTATTGTATCCCGGGTTGGATCTCCTCAACCTTGGTTGGTACTTCAAATAGGAGATGGAAAACTCTGATTCCAAACCAAATAAGACTTCCAGGATGATTAAAAAGAAAGAAAAGAAAGACAATTGTTTATTTGGTACACTGAAAATACTTTTTAAATTTTAAATTACATTTTATCGGTTTATATTAATAATTCCAGTACCAAATAGGTCTCCGTTCAGCATATGTCGTGACGGGGTGCCACGATGCTGGTTTTCTGCGGATACCTTCATATATAATAAACATAATAAAATAATAATAATAATACACATACATACATAGATCTAGGCGGATAACACAGAGTAAACATTTACGACATACTACCATATATAAATAAACATCAAATATAACTACACACTGAAACATAAAATAAACATAAAGTTCTGGTGACACTTGCATTACCCTGCATTTGGAGTGCAGACACATCGTGCAAGATTACGGTCTACGATAGACAAGATAAAGAATGAATACATTAGTACTCATCATAAGAGGTTTGAGAAAGAAACTTGCATGTTGCTCTTTTAAATAAATGTTGTTCAGATTTCTAACAATTTTGTATGAGTACAATACAGCGTTTGCTGAGAAGCGATTTTTTTATATAATTACTAGCTGACCCCAGATGCGAATGTTGAAAAGAATGGATAAGATAAAGAATGAATACATTAGAGGAAGTATGAAAGTGGCGCCGGTGTCGGAGAGGTTGAAGAGTAATCGTCTATCGTGGTATGGACATGTAATGCGTAGGAATGAAGATCATATCCTAACGAAGGTGTTACATATAAAAGTGGATGGTTATAAGGGTAGAGGAAGACCGAAAAAGAGATGGATGGACTGTGTGAAAGATGATATGATGAGAAAGGGAGTAAATAACAATATGACTGCGAACAGAGATGAATGGAAGAGAAAAACATATTACGACGACCACAAATAAATGAGATAAGGAAGAAGCAGATGATATAATATGGCAGTTTTCTTATGATTATGATTACTAACAATCCTTCTCACCACTAAAGGATAGAATTATTGTAATAATGTTATTATAATTTTTAATAATAAATGTACTATAAAAATCTAGACCGGACATCGAATTCGCAATTAAAACATAACTGGAAGTTATTAGCACTGAACATCTAGAACAGGTGACCCCAATGTATCGCTATTATATCGCCTTCCGTTTTGTTAGTGCGCGTTCGATTTCCGTCGCGTGATAAAATTTCGGCATACATTTCTATGGCCTACAATTACTATTTCAATTCATGTCATATTGAATTTAACATGTACAGATAAACAGACAGACAGAAAGCTGACCTTTTTAGTTAATCATAACGGCCACCAGTGGAGGATGATAAGTTAAGCAGAGCTAGTGTTATGGGTACTACACAACTATTACAAATACATAGATTTTTTTTAGTAAATACATATATACTATATATAGAAAACACTGAGACCGATACAAACAATCATACTCAAGAATACAAATGCTTGCACCGTGTAAGGAATCGAACCCGCGACCATCGGAAGTAAGATAGTGTTTTGTTCCGCTAGACCACCGAGGCCGTCCACGGTAAGTGTGTACCGTATTTATATGCATATCCATGTAGTAAAAAACGGTTATTTCGATATAACAAACAGACACTCCAATTTTATTTATATGTATAGATGTATAGATTGGCAGACCCGGCCACGCGTTGCTGTGTCTAAGGTTCTTGAATAAAATAATATTGCGACTATAAATTGAGATGTAAGCTATCCTATCTTTCAAGTTGCATCAAATTACACACAAATCAAATTTGCAATCGGTTCAGTAGTTCGTAGTAGTATCGATTTAGGAGTTCATCGCGGACAAATAAGGTGACATCTAATTTTTATATATAACTAGCTGTACTAGCGACTTCGTCCGTGTGGAATTAAATTTTCTAAAATAAAAGTCGCCTAAGTTACTCTTTCTTACATCAGCTACCTGCTAATAAAAATCCCGTCAAAATTGGTACATCCATTTCAGAGATTAGCCGGAACAAACAGACAGACAAAGTATTTATATTCAATATTACAAACATACACTCCAATTTTATTTATATGTATTATAGATATAGATAATAAAGTAAAAAAAAAACAATGTCTAAGTCAAATAAATAGCCTTAAAAACAAATACCTGACACTTATGAGGAACCGAAGCGTAGAACCCGTCGTGAAGTCCATCACACTTGAAATCCATGGTTTCTGGTGGTGGCACAGCTTCGTAGAACGGGTATCCTGACAGATTATACCCGTTCAATTCCCGGGGCAGGTTGGGGTCGTATATATAGTCATTTTGCGGGATGCCGGTAAGTTTGCTTGTTGTATTCTGAGAGTCACCACTGTCGACTGATGCCTCGGTCTGTAATAGAAAATATTTATTTATTTATTGCTCTTTATTTCACCTTGAAAAGATATAATATAAAACAGAACATATATATATAGAAATAGAAATAATCTTTATTCCAATAAACTCAGTACAAGCATTTATGAATAGTCATATTTTGATTATACCACTTTATCGGAATGCAGACTCATCACAAGAAGAATAAGCAAGAAACTTGTGTGTTGCTCTTTTGAATAGATGTTTCTTTTTATATAAATAATTACACAATAACGACTAAAAGACATAGGGATAATCAACATAGAAACCGCTACGCACTTATTCTTAGTGCAATCAGATAATATTGTCTTAACTATGCATTTTAAGTTTTTCTACAAAAACATTATATATCCTTAACGAACTCTTCAATTTTATAACATGATTTTTTACAAAGGAATTGCTTTATACGACATATAAATCGCTTTATACCAAATTTACCTTCAAATACAAGTTAAGAAAACATCTTTCCAACGACTTTTGTAATTAAATGAATACATTAATATAGTGTTAATTTATCTCCCGCTTTCACTCTTGATTTGTCATGATTGATTATATCTCATTGTTGATTTGTATTTGGTATATATGTATAAATTTTAAATGTATTTTATTATGTACTTGAATGTATATGTATATATATAATATATTTATATTTATATATTCTTATTAAGTATGTATGTAGTTGGATATATATATTTCAATTTATGAATTTTATTATAATTGTACCTTTCTCCTTTTATTATTTATTTCATGTTATTATTTACTTAAATGCACCGCTCACTAATCTCTGTTTGCCCTATGGTCGACTGAGAGAAAATGCCTTATGGTGTTAAGTCCGCCTTATGCACCATTATTTTGTTTTATATTTGAGCATGAAGTTTTTATAAATAAATAAATAAAAATAAATCTTTTTTCAGACAGATTTATTACAGACTCTGGTAATTTCTTGTAAAACATTACGCAATTACCGTAAAACGAATTACTAACTTTAGTTAAACGACATTTAGGTAAAGTCAATTTGTTATTGTTACGTAAGCGTTTATTAGTGTTATCACTAATCTTTTGAAATCCTTATCATTGAGGTGTATGAAAAATAGATGTTGGCCTATTCTCAAACCTATCCGATATGCACAAAAAATTTCATAAAATATGGTAAAGTCGTTTCGGAGATTTTGGTAACAAACACCGCAACACGAGAATTTTATATAGTAGATTAAGTATATACAATGTTTTTCGAAAATATACAGAGCTTATAGACAGCTATAAATTTTATTAAATTTAATATTTCTTAGTAGATATGTAACAAAGCTTATAATTAATTACATTACTTTTGAAATTGTTTATATTTTTTGGAATACTTGTTTATAATCTTTGCATATTTTCGTAAATATATTGAGAAGCAACGGTGAGGATATATGATTAAAACACTCTCGTAAAGACTCCCTGGAATCCATATCATAAATAGAGCGAATGGCCATCTTTTTTAAGATATATATGTATAGTTAATATTATTATAATTATAAAATATTATAAGAAAACAAAGACATAGCGTTTGATAATCTTAGACCTCGTTCTTTTTGTAACCTTTAAAAAATTTGTCGCATTTTAATACTCCTATTAGCAGTCGGTTAAAAAGTACTGATCAGGAAATATAAAAAATACTATTTTGTCATGTCTGTGCGTTGATCAAGGTGGATCACTTTTCCCACCTTGGCATATAGAGCGGAATTCCAAGCAATAATGGGTGTGGACTGAATTAATACGAATTTATATTAATTTGCAAGAATCTCAACATATTTATCTAATGTAATATATTCATATGTATATTTATAATAATATAATCACAGACAGACAGACATATTTTTGCATTTATAATATACTACCGATCCGTCTCTGCTTCGCATGTATGCATTACAAATCTTTGAATTTCTCGGCTCGTTCTGTATTATAACACGCATGTATTATACATATAAACCTTCCTCTTGAATCACTCTATCTATTGCTGAAAATTGAATTAAAATCCGTTGAGTAGTTTAAAAGATATAAGTGAACAGACAGCGACGGTGACTTTGTTTTTATAGAATAGAATAGAAAATCCTTTATTAAAATAAACTTAATTTAAGCACTTTTGAATAGTCATAACATTTTATTTAATCTACCGCTCGTTCGGAAAGCTGTTTCATCACAAGAAGAACAAGCAAGAAACTTGTATGTTGCTCTTTTAAACAATCCTTGTAAGTTCACATTTTACAAGTCGAAACGTGTGAATACAAACTACCAACCAGCACTAATTTATTAGGGTCAAATATAAATACACAATAAGATTAAATCAGTGGTAGAAATATGAGCAGACCAGTACCTACAAGCAGCTACGTTCACGAGTATGACGGAGATGCCAGCCATCACTGCGGTCGACTATATTTATTTTAATAACCTTTTAAATAATCTTACGTAAAGATTTAGTTTCAATAATAATAATAACTAAAAATTAGCTCTATTCTATTATTAAAGTCGAAGATAGTCAGGCCCCTCTTTCCCACTGGGCACACTTGGCACGTACCCAGGGCCCCGCTATGGATTGGGGCCCCCTAGTCTGGTCTACTCCCTACTCCATTACCAAACGATAACCGATAGCTACTCTACTCTCGCCTGAAAATCAGTCTTAACAAACGCATACCTACTATAGTCAATTTGTTAATTTTTTTATAAATGTCTAGCAAGAACTTGACAAACTACAAATAACGATTTTTTTTAAGTTATTTTTGCCTGTTTTGTTTTGAAATAGAGATAGAAATAATCTTTATTCAAATAAACATAATATAAGCACTTTTGAATAGTCAAGTTTTTTTATTCTACCGCTTATTCGTAATGCAGATTCATCACACGAAGAATAAGCAAGAAACTTCTGTGTTGCTGTTTTAAATATATATTGATTCACTTATATTTAATTAACAACAAGGATTAGGCATGCGACAATCAACATAGAAACCGCTACGCACTTAATCTCTGTTCAATCAGATAACATTGTCAGCACTATGAATTTTAAGTTAGATATTTTCTACAAAAACATTATTATCATTTATAAATTCTTCAATTTCATAATAAGCTTTTTTACAAAGAATATATTTTATGACACATTAGAATTTTTTTTCTGGCAAATTGACTACAGACTCTGGGAGTTTGTTGCAAAACCTTACGCAATTTCCATAAAATTTGAAGGTAGGGCATCCACATACATCTCTAAAGAATCATGTTAAAAAATGACTGTCTATTCTAATGAAATAGTGCTTTTTCACTATGGTCATAGGCCCATTATCTGTGCCCTGTCTCTAATAGGTGAAAGACGGCTCTGAATATAGTTCAATATGGTCTACCTGTGCCTCTTCCTCGCCACCTTCAGGCTGTTCCTCTGGTGCTGCTGTTGTGCTGGTGGTCTTCGCGAAGATCAACGCTGTTGCTCTGACTGCTGACGCTGCCGGTATCTCCACTGACAACACGATCAGAGTCACACCTGAAATAGTTAAATTTCTAATGTTAAGTGTCAATTGTAATTACAAAAATAATTCATTGCCTTGCCTTTATTTCATTACTAGCTGTTCCCACGACTTCGTCCGCGTGGAATTTAACTTTATTTTTATAAAAGTAGCTTAAAGTACTAAAAATAATTTGTTCGTCTTAATTTATTCGTTCCATTAGGTTCTGATAGGTTCAAACTAATACATTTACATCCTGCATCGTTCCTTATGTTATCCCCATGGGGGTTGAATTTATCAAAATCCTATTTAAGCGAACGTCTTCATCATAGTAGCTCCAATCTTTAATTTCAGTTCAATCAGTCGAAAATCTAAGAAGATTGATACAAAATTTCATCCCCTATTTTATCTACCCTTAGGGGTAGAATTTATCAAAATTATTTCTTAGGGGATGCCTACGTCATAGTAGCTTTATACAACGTCTCAGCCCGATCGGTTTAAAGCTGACAAAGTTTCAAACAAACTTTAATCCCCTATTTTATTCCCTTGGGGGTAGAATTAATCAAAATCCTTTTTTAGCGGATGCCTACGTCATAATATCTACATGCGTGCTAAATTTCAGCGCGATCCGTCCAGTGGTTTGGGCTGTGCGTTGATAGATCACTATGTCAGTCACCTTTGAGTTATATATATATATATATATTTAGATTTGTGGTCGGCGCGGTATGTCGTTCTCTTCCACTGATCTCTATCTATCGTCATATGAGCACACTCTTCTTTTATTCATAACATCTTTCACACAATCCATCCATCTAGGGTGTCTCTCCCCTTACATCCATCGAAGGAGAAAATATACAGTCAAATATCTGTTCATTCCACGTGATTTAGTCGTGACAGAGTTTGCCATTCAGTTCACATAAAAAAATGACTCAAAAACCAACGCAAAATAATTTGGTGAAGGTTTTTCCCTTGGCTTGTTTTTAGTGTTCTAAGAAGACCTTGAGTAACCTGGTTGTTGCCAAAATACCCGATGATGATGAGGATAATCCTATTAGTAACTAAAACCGCAGAAGTGTGTGTGGATGTATGTTTGTTACTTTTGTACTTAATTGATTTTTAAACCCCAAAAAAAATTATTATTTTATTTATTTATTAATTATAAGTATCAATATGAAACCTCGGCCATCTAAGTATATTTTACTTTTTATTTACACAATGATTCAAAATTCGAAATTTGAAAATTAATAATTACAAAAGTTTGAGATATATATAGCTGACATATATATATATATATATATTTCTTAATATATGTAGTCGCATACTGTACATAAATGAATATAAAACCATACCATTACCAACACGACCTTAGTTTTTGTTGCTCCGTGAATAAATACCAAATATATCGTGGAATTTTTATAATGGTTATAACATAAAAAACTGACTTTAGTATTGACGAAATCATAGTTATATATGTATGTATATATACTAGCTGTTATTGCGACTTCGACTATTTTTTTACATGTCAAATCAATTCAAATCAATAAAGTATTTTTTTATTGATATAAAAAATAAACATTAATTTTTTCACGCGCTTTCTATTTTTTGTACCCCTACCGCGCATTTTGGATAGCTGGATATAACTGGCAACAAATTCAATTGGCACCTTTTTTTAATAGTATTTTAATAACAGGACAAAATGTATGTCCGTCCTTATAGTACAATTTATCTTAGTATTTATTTATTATATTATATTTTTAAGGTTTTTAATTTTAGTTTCTTAGTTCTACAAGAAGTTATATTAATTAAACATGTAAATACAGGGGTCTAGGAATCGAATATGATTTTGTCCCATTCGGTGTCGAGACCCTTGGTCCGTGGTGTCCTAGCGCTATAAGACTTTTCAAAGAAATAACGAAAAGGTTAGTCGACATCACAGAAGACCAACGAGTTGGCAGCTACCTCGGACAAAGAATTAGGATAGCCATTCAAAGAGGGAACGCTGCCAGTATCAACGGATCTTAGCCTAAAGGGACACCTTTTAATAATATATTTTAGTTACTATATTATATTCTTTAAGCTTTTTAATTTTAGGTTCTTAGTTGTACAATTAAGTTATGTAAATATTTTATTTATATGTATATACTAGATACTCGCCCCAGTATCCCAAGGGGGTAAACTTGTATTATATATATAAACCTTCCTCTTGAATCACTTTATCTATTGCTAAGGACAATGTTAGCAAAGAAGGACTTGTAAAGAGATTTCTTCTACTCACGATTCAGTTATACTCGCCGTTGTAACTTCGATCCCCGTTTGGTCGTCGAATTGGACAGAGGATCGATCGAACAAAATATATTTCTAATCAAGATAAAATAATATAAAAACACATTTAATACAATATATATTTTTTTAATACTATGATGGTGGCAATCAAGCATACGGCCCATCTGATAGTACGGTTACCGTAGCCTATGAACGCCTGAAACACCAGCGGTATAACGTGCGCGTTGCCAACTCTTAAGAAACCTTAATATACCCTTCTTGGAAAACCCCATGCTGTAGTCTCGTGAGAAAACCTCGGCAGGAAGTTCATTCCACAATCTAAGTGTACGCGGGAGGAAACTCCTCTGAAACTTCACTGTTCGGAACCATTTAGGTTCCAGCGTGTGGGGATGAATTCCCTGTCGATGGCGAGCGGTGCGGTGGTAAAAGGTGGCTGTCGGCATCATGGCATATATAATAATATAGATAAGTTATACGTATACATCAATACGACGGCAGACAAGATGACAAAACACTCTCTTTTCGAATATTCAAACATACTTCATCTGCCATACCAGGCAGTCTAGCCATCGATAGCAAACCTCGTTCTAACAAAGCTCCTCTAATTGCAACCGCCAAATAGCATGCCTCTAAGCTGAGTAGAATTAAAAGAAATATATATTTATTAGAATAGAATAGAATAGAAAATCATTTATTCAAATAAACTTACATTGAAGCACTTTAGAATACACATAACATTTTTTTTTAATCTACCGCTCATTCGGAATGCTGTCTCATCACAAGAAGAACAAGCAAGAAACTTGTGTGTTGCTCTTTTAAATAATTTATTCTTACTTACAATTTAAGTTTAAGTGTGTGAATACAAACTATTCATTTACTTATGTATATAACTATAATATAATATATATGTATTTATTTCGATAACTTAGCACCCCTCCAGAGGAACACATTAAGTAATTAAAACTTTGGCCATATCAAATCGCGGCTGAAGTACTACATAATATATTTATAATCAAATAAAAATAAAAAGGAAAAATGTGATAATAAAAACTGTAGAGAAACAAATAAAATTAATAAAAAAAAAAAGCTGAGTTGAATGGTAAGAAATGGCAATGGCATGACATTTCACTCCGGAATAGCAACACAATTATAATATATATGTTCACATATAACTAGTTATAGATATAAACAAAAGGTCGACGTGAAATGAAAGGAGATGCATCTATTTTGCCTAAAAAGTCAAGGATATATAAATGTCATAGTTTCAATTTTTATACATATAAATATAACAAGTGACCTATCCTGATTTCGCGCCAGTTTATAGTTCACTAACTACTCGGCTCGACTTCGCACGGGTGTACATGTATTATATATATAAACATCCTCTTGAATCAATCTATCTATTTAAAAAAAACCGCTTCAAAATACGTTGAAAGAAAGAAAAAAAAAATTTCAGTGCTTTTCAACAATGTTACAATATATAAAACAAGCAGACGAAGTTGCGTAGTTTTAAAGATTTAAACATACATAGGGACGGACAGACAGCGACAGCGACTTTGTTTTATACTATGTAACTAGCTATCCGCCCGGCTTCGCACGGGTGTACATGTATTATATATATAAACCTTCCTCTTGAATCACTCTATCTATTAAAGAAAACCGCTTCAAAATCCGTTGCGTAGTTTTAAAGATTTAAACATACATAGGGACGGACAGACAGCGACAGTGACTTCGTTTTATACTATGTAATGATGTGAAAAGGTCACACATATATGTTTGTATGTATAATTCATAACTCTAAAATACATCTTCCGGGAGGAATTCTCTTCCCCCCGGAAGATGTATTTTAGAGTGGACTGATGACCCTATTGCTAGCAATGGGGTCATCAGTCCACATGGGGGCAACCATGTCAAGTTGACCCACGCGGTTCTCACTATCAACTATCGTGATAAATTTCCTGTGAAATTGTCATGATGTGCTAACTGACCTGACCTCATGCTCATCTTATCATCCTCCACTGGTGCCCCGCCAGCGTAAACCGTTAGCGCAGGCGGGTGCACCATTCCATTATCATCAATAAAAAATACATCTTCCTGGGCCATTCCCAGAATTGTCAGTAATGTGGACTGTTGACCACACGGTTCTCCCTGGCTACCATCGTGATAAATTCCTGGTGAATTTACCACGATGGGTTAACTGACCTGACCTCATGATCTTCTATCATCTACTAGGTACCCCAGGTGAAAAGGTTTAAAGGCTTTACACGATAAAAAAAATGGCGGCTGATAATGGAATCCATTTAAAAATTGCAGTGTTGATCACAACATCTACAATTGTCAACGCCTCTGACCATTTAAGATTGCAGTCCTTAGGATATGTATTATAAATACTTACAAAAGAAACTGAGGCCCAGCCACCTTCGCCGGGATCGCTTCATTTTGCCAACGTGACCTGAAACAAAGGAAAAGGAAACATAAAAATCGGTAAATAGAATTATTGAACGGTGACTCCAAATTTGGCCTGAGTTAGAGAAATTTTCATTTTATTAAATTATAACTGGAAGGTTTTTTTTTCGGACAACTCTAATGCTGTTGGCCGCAGCTGGCCTTTACAGCTTCACCGGACGATAGGGGGCGAGTGCAGATGGCACTCCAAACCCGCGGAAGGTCTTATGGAGCGGCTGAAGGCCAACTCCTGCCTGACGGATACGACTTTAGTCTGAGGGCACCGCTAGAGGTTCGAACCTCGGCTCAGGCCGTCGTAATTTCGATCCCCGTTTGAATTGGACGGGGATCGATCGGAGGGGACCGGATAGCTGGAAGGGTAATTAATTATGAAATTTTACAGTCTAATATATAAGTTTTATGCGAATCCACACTGGCTGTTGTTCTAGATATGGTTAGATGTTTTTTTGAAATCTTAACCCTACTTCTGTATTCTTTGTAAGCTGTGTTCCAGCTTAGCTTGGGACTAGATGGCGCTGTGTGAATACAGTAATAGGCTGGAATACAGATACAAAAACTACTAAGTCAAAATATTGCAATCTGATGATTTGAAACTCGAAAAGTACAAAAGTACCCGCTGGACCAAATCTCTGGATTGAACTACATACGCCTAAGGTCCTCTCTACTGATCGCCACTATTATCCACAAATGGTCCAGGCGATTGAAATGATGAAACACCCCAATTTCAACAAAGATGATGCGTTAAAATTATCTTCTGCGTGAATCCAGTCATAAATAAATTCAAGCAAATATAAGATCCATTAATCTAAAATAAAAGTAGCTTAAGTTACTCCTCATTACATCAGCTACCTGCCAATAAAAGTCCCGTCACAATCGGTCCAACCATTTCGGAGATTAGCCGGAACAAGCAGACAGACAAAAAATTTAAAAAAATGTTATTTTAGTGTATGTACCGTATATATATTCATTATGTATGTAGTAAAAACGGGTATTTCAGTATTACAAACATATACTCCAATTTTATTTATATGTATAGATAATTACACGTATGTACTCACAGAAATCGTATTCGGATATTTTCTAACAATGATAGGAAATGATTACCGTTTCATTGAATTAGACGTCTATTGTTTTATACTCAGTATATGTATGTACTCATATTGTACTCAAGGTACAATCTTTTTTTCTTCAATCATATAAGACAGTAACGATATCTGAAATCTACCGCCAGATGAAAGAAAGAAAGAAAAAATATTTTTCTTTCTTTCTTTCATCTGGCGGTTTCAGATACCGATTCAGTGCAATGTAAAAAATTATTCAGTAAAAAATACAATATAAACAACTAACGAAAAAAAAGGTCAAATAAAATGTACTTATAAATAAACTTAATGTACCATGTAGATAATTAAAGTTTGTAGATAATAATAATAATAATAATCTCAGGACAATTCACACAGCGCCATTTAGACCTAAGTTAAGCTAGCTAAAGCTTGTGTTATGGGTACGAGACAACTGATACATATACATAGATATTTTGTTTTTTGTAAATACATACATAATATATATAGAAAACACCCAGTCACAAACAATCATACTCATGGATACAAATGTTTGTGCCGTGCGAGGAATCGAACCCTCGACCATCGGTCGTAAAGCGGTGTGCTAGACCGCTTGACCACCGAGGTCGTCCACCGTAGATAGTTCACGTAGTTTTTTTTCTTATGCATGTAATAGTGCACTCTTCTGCGCTAACGGTTTGCGCTACCGGGGCACCAGTGGAGGATAAGTTGAGCACGAGGTCAGGTCAGTTCGTCCATCGTGACAAATTCATCAGGAATTTAACATGATGGTTTTCAGCGTTACTTTATTGTCTTTTTTTTCTTACGAAAGTAACAGTGCACCCGCCTGCGCTTACGCTGGTGGGGCACCAGTGGAGGACGATAAGATGTGGGGTCAGGTCAGTGAGCCCATCGTGGTAAATTCACTATGAATTAATTTATCATGATGGTTCCTACAGGGATCCTCGTGGAAGTTAATCTGACGTGATGGAATGTTTTTTTATCTTAAGCAAAACCGCTGCTTGAAACAAACGAATGTTGTTCCAGATATGGCCGATAAGTGTACAAATATACCATCAGGTTTTAGCCAGTAGAAGTCCATTAGTACCCATTCGTCCTTTATGGCGTTTGGGTTTCCATGACCGATTGTCCTGATGTAAAAAAAAGGAATAGAATAGAATAGAAAATCATTTATTCAAATAAACTTACATTGAAGCACTTTTGAATAGTCATCACATTTTTTTAATCTACTGCTCATTCGGAAAGTTGTCTCATCACAAGAAGAACGAGCAAGAAATTGTGTGTTGCTCTTTTAAATAATTTTATTCTAACTTTACAATTTAAGTTTAAGTGTGTGAATACAAACCGATTAGCACTAATTCAATTAAATTAGAAGGAGAAACTGTATGGAGGTCAAGCTGACTGAGGTACATTGCTAGCAATGGGGTTATTTCCCCTGCCCCACCCCCTATCCCCTAGTTTCTTTTAATGGATGATAATGAATGGGTGTACCATACACCCGCCTGCACTAACAGTTTACGCTGGTGCGTCACCTTAGAAGCATGATAAGAGCATAAGGTCAGGTCAGTTAGACCATAGTGGTAAATTCACAATTTTAATTAAAATTCACAAATTAGTTCCACAATGTAAGTGGTAAGTAAGTACGCGGGAAGGACCTCCCCTGTCGACCCCATGAAGAATAAAAGTCGTGAATATATAACACAACTTACGTTAAGTTCATAACAGTACCAGGCCGGGTCGTTCACCTTGCGCGCATCGTCCTTGCAATCGCTTACTTTTACCATTATTGTTTTAAATTATTTATGTATGTATGTCTGTGTACAGAAACTCGAGAACCTTGAGATTGTGTACGTTTAAATAGGTCCGCTCGCATACTATTATTAGGTTATAATAGAGTTGCCAACCGTCCTGTTATCCCAGGACATGTCCTAGTTTCTGTAGTGTCCTGGAAAGTCCTGAATAGCTAGGCAGCGTCCTAGGTTTTTTAAATATGCCTCTTAATTACTGTTTGTCAACAGTATAATTTCATCAAATATTTTTTATCTAAATATCCTATTATATTAATTACTTGAATTTTACTATATGTTAATATAATTATTTTTTTTTTGTAGATGATAATGGAATGTTGCACCCGCCTGCGCTAACGGTTTACGCTGGCGGGGCACCAGTGGAGGATGATAAGATGAGCATGAGGTCAGGTCAGTTAGCACATCGTGACAAATTCACCAGGAATTTATCAGGATGGTTTCCAGGGTGAACCGCGTGGAGGTCGACCTGATATGATACATTGCTAGCAATGGGGTTATCAATCCACATGCCTAACAATCCTCTTCCCCCCTAATATAACTGTTGCAACACTATTACTGCGTTCTGTTTTAAAATTGGATAGTCCTGGTTTTTTTAAACAATCAATCTTGCTTTTTTTAAACTTGGGCTTGGCAACCCTAGATTATAATAATTATAACCCTGAACAATATACACAGCGCCATCTAGTCCCAAGCTTAGTAGCGGTTGTTAGATACTAAAACGCTAATATAAATATTTGTTTTTTAAATACATACATAATATATGTAGAAAAAACGCAAATGAACAATCATAATTTTAAATACAAAATTGTGCACCGCGCGAGGAATCGAACCTCCGACCAACGAAAGTACAGCGGCGTGCTAAACCGCTAGACCATCGAAGCCGAAGATTATATTTTATATTTTGAGTTTCATGTGAGTTGTTCTCATCTCGAAATCATTCCGAACGGACGGTAGATTTGACATATCATAAGAGTCTGTAATAGACCTACATGAATATACTTGCAATTGATTTGATAGTAACCTGTTATGTGTGCTAGTTGTTCTCATCTCGATATCATTCCGAACTGACGGTAGATTTGACATATCATAAGAGTCTGTAATAGACCTACATGAATAAAGATATTTTGAATTTGAATTTGAATTTGTATTATCATTACATAGTATAAAACAAAGTCGCTGTCGCTGTCTGTCCGTCCCTATGTATGAATCTTTTAAACTACGCAACGGATTTTGAAGCAGGTTTTTTTAATAGATAGAGTGATTCAAGAGGAAAGTTTATATATATAATAAATGTATACCCGTGCGAAGCCGGGGCAAGTAGCCATTAAATAATGAAATACGCTTGTTCTTCTGTAGAATAGTGATATGTTGTTAATTAGATATTGTGATATAATGATACTGGTCCGTACAATTGCATTGATTATAATTTACTATTTCATCACTGGTAACAGAATGCGTAGCAGTGAAAGTGGGCAGCGGACCGAAGCGAGTTCGATTCCAGCGTTGTGTGTCGGTATGTGACGCGCCATCTTGAAAACTATTAATATTTGAATAGTATTGAGGGTCTCGATGATGTAGCGGTTTAATATATCGCCTTCTTTTACTATGGTCGCGGGTATTGTATTCAAGGGTATAATTTTTTTATAGATGCACTTGGTTGTCTAGCTGTTAAATACACGGCCTTACTTCCGATGGTCGTGGGTTCGATTCCTCGCACAGTACACACGTTTGTATTCATGAGTATGACTGTTTGTATCGGTCTGGGTGTTTTCTATGTATAATATGTATGTATATATAAAATATATCTAAGTATTTACATCAGTTGTCTAGTACCCATAACACAAGATCTGCTTATTGTGGGACTAGATTTTTTTTTAACACAATTTGAACATACAAGTGTACTTGTGCTATCTGAACTAGTATAGAGTTATACTGTATCTCAGATGTCACATAGCTTCCCAGGGTGCATAATATTACATTTATTAACATTTACTGATACACAACACAATAACATACATACTACTTAACATAACATAACATATTCGATAAAAAAAAAGGAAACAATAAAATACACAAAGCCAGTTAAAGATGGCGCTG